GGTGGCTGCTACCCCTGCTAAACCCAGCCCAACTAGCCACATAGCCACCCTGTAAGAAATGAAAGGTGAAACAGTGATTTACGGCTCCCGTATGAATTTTCCCTGTGCTCAGCTCCCATAACAGCATGCGAAGTCAGGAATAGCTCCAAGTACTTAGCACCTCTGTCAAATTTCTCCGTCTGCAGCTACGTCCAATAATCTGTTTCCATGCCCAACTCCTGCTTTGTCGCCTTTGCCGGCAGATGTGTTGTGTGTTTCTGATGTATAGTTTCGCGACAGAAGATGTAGCCTGGAGAAGGTGATGCGTCTCACTCTGCTGGCTGCGGAGCCGCGTGGCAGGGCTGACGGCTCCGATCGTCACCCTGAGCCCCCGCAGCCCCGAGCGGAGCATCTCCTGTGAAATGTAGTAACTCTTCCTTTATGGAGTGTACGAACCTCTGGATACTCTTCCTGTTCTGCATTACTACAAGCTGTAACTGCTGTATACCATGCTTCTTATTCTCATTAAAAGATCTAGCATCATATTACTGTTTTGTCATATTTTAATTTTTTTTCCCTTTTTTTTGCTATTACTAATTATTTACCTGAGGTGTGGTAAAAAGGAGCCACTTATTTTTCAGAGCTGCAGTTTTAAACACCCTGTAAAGTCTGAGGCTACTGAGGACATGTATAACACCTCAATTTCTGTCTTCTTCAAGACAATTCTGAAAATTCAGGTCCATCTTAACTCTGCCTCTCTTTCACCAAATACAGCTGAAATGCTGCTTCTTTCCAAAACATTAGCTTAGAAATGTGTAGATTCAAGGAAACGAAATCAGTATTTGCTGACTACATCCAGCTCAAGTTATGCTATATTTGAGGATCTAAAACGCGCTCAAAACGAGACACACAATGCCAGACTCCCTAAGTTTTCCTGCAGCTCTGAAAAAGGTATCTGATATGAGAGCGCACGGGAGCTAGCGTTCTTCTGTTCTCGGTGCATATTAAAGCTTAAGTACGGCTGCTTCTCCACCAGAGCTTACTTGGCGTGGTCCACGTCCCTTGTGCAAGCCGTGAGCTTTGTCCTCCCCATCTCCTCCTGACCCTGCGCCAGCACGCTGCCCTGCCGGCGGCTCCTTTCGGGTGAGCAGCCCACAGCCTGGGCTATAAGGAAGAGCTGTTTTACAAGAGAAGAACGCAGATTCCCACATAAGGCGAGGCTATGATGGGAAGTAATCGTCCCCCATAATTAACAGGAGGGCACGTGACAGGGAGGGAGAAGAGTTGAAGTAAAAGTGACTGACAACTTAATGACGAAGGGAAGAGCCTCCTGCGATGATCCTGAGATTTGCAATAGGAAACATTATTCCTTCCAATCCATGGGGACTTCAGGTCTCCAGTAAACAGGCCAACCTGCATGCGGAAAGCAGAATTACAGACTCTTAAGAGTCTGTAATTAAGACAGCGTAGACTTCTCCCTGGTGGATAGACTATGAGGGAAGGGCCAGCTGGAGGGCTCCTTGCCTCATCTTGTCAGAGCCAGGTGCAACTGCCTTCCAGGGAGAAGGAAGGTTTATTTGAATTCACATCCAGATAAAACCAGATCTCAGGAATGGAGCAGAATCCAGACACTAATTCAGCAGGTTAGTCAAGAGCTGGCGGAGGGGACCGTCAAAGAACACAGAGAAATCCAGAGAAAAAGCGCTGATGGGCCCTGGGGAGCTGCCAAAGAGGCTCTGCTTGGGTCCAACCAGGCAAAAAGTTCTCAAATCAACATCCATTGAGCACCGGTTTGAAAATTCACTATTGTGATCGACAATAGCCCACTAGATGCTTGTGGTAAATGATTCCAGTCAGATTACAACTAACAAAGGCTTTTCATGCAAATCAAGGTAACTCATTTCCTTCAACTGATCATGATCTACAGACTCAGAATCTGAAGGTATTTGATTTTCATCTGAAAGTAGCTGTGTTTTACGCATAAGTTTAACTTTTAAGAGAAGTCATCGGTTGATGTAATATATCATGACTCACATACTCCAACATAACAAAAAGAAATCAGAAATGGTTTCTTTTTCAGGTAGCATAGTGCATGTTTTTTACTTCTTCAAAATGTTCAAGTTCAAATTTGTTTATGATGTAGAAAATAAAAAAAATTTGAACTTACACAAAATACCTTTCATGATTTTAAAAAATGAGGTTTTTAAGTACTTCGGTCAGTCATAACATGGTATCAGAAAAAATAGGGAAAAATGGATCACCTCTTTAAAAGTCATGATTTTTTTTTTTATGTATACACACACACACATACACATATATCCTATCTGTATGTCCTTACAACTGTTGCATTGCTATTATATAATCTTATTACTGACATGTTAGAAAAAGAAATAACTATGTACTTGACAAAATAAATAGACAAACTACAGAAAACAGAAACATCCATCTTGAGAGAAAATGTCAACATTTGTCAAGAATTTTTCTAAAAGTCCTTCTTGACATACATTTTTAAAATATATATGTTAGTTCTGATATAAACTCTGATACAGTACAGCTTGAAAAAGTATATGCCAAAGGAATAATGTAGGATAAATCTTTTTTTTTGATAAATGGGGGTGACAAAAGGTAACTGAAATTGTACAGAGGGAACCCTAAAAACTGCAATATTCTCATGACTTAGGGCTCTTATATAAATGTCTTAATATGTTTTCCTTAGTGAATTTGACTCCATCTTCTTATTACTACTAAGATTTTGTATTTGTTGTATTTTCAGTTATGGACTGAATGTTGCTGTGTGTCTTGGAGTACATTTAGGGCATTTCCGTGCATTATTTTTGTTTGTAGATGTAGAAGTATGGGCATTGGTGAACTCACACTTCCCAAGGTCATTTCCTGGTTTTCAAGGATCTATGTCTTGAGACATCAAAATATTCTATTAATCCTGATCAGTTAGGTAACTTTGAAAGATTTCACACACAAGCTTAACTTTGCAGGACAATTAATGGCCATTTTAGCATTCTTCAACTTGTTATGAGACAGCTGGCTTTCGTAACCCTTCAAAACACAATACTGCATCATCCAGAAATTCCAATCTTCTTACCTGAACAAAGAGTAAGAAAACTAAATTTTTTGCATATGTCACAACTTCAATTAATATAATTAGTTTCCTTAACATCTGGGATCATTACTCTGTTCTCATCTCCTCATAACAACATGAAGGTTACAAGCTTCTTTCATCTTAAAACTTTATGGGTCATCCTCAGTTCTTATTATCAAATTCAGTTCGCTGGAGATACAAGAAGGAACAAGAGAATGACAGACTCTCAGAATAGAGATGACTGAAAATCAAAATTCATATATTTGGGAATATTTGAACATTTGAATCTTGCATGTAGCCTGAATTGGAAGGAAAACAATATTCAGAAATCAACAAATCAGAAATAAGTATGACTTTTTGAATGTTTCAAAAAAAGCTTATTTAAATAAATATTTCTTTTCAAGTGCTTCATTTGTACTTTATTTTGAGTTACACATCCCAATGTTTCCCACATTTAGTGGGAAAACAAAGGGATCTTATTAGAAACCCCGCCACACTTACTTGAAATTACAGTCAATCAGTGATACTGTGGTCCCAGTAGTGTTTGCTAGAGGAAAAAAAAAAGTTGTATACACTTATATCCCTAATGTACCTTTAAAAATAAAACCTAGTGCACCCTCAGTTTCTCAGAGAATAAAAATTTGGACTGCTGGAGTAGCAGAAGATGCAAATAATATTTTGTTCCACTTTTCTTTGCCCACTATTGTTCCTGTAAAACCCAGTTCTGTGTTTGAGAAACAGTAAGTATCTTCTCTTCTTCCTCCCAAATATTTAGTTTATACAGTTTATACTTTGAGTATTTTCTTTTAGTCTATTTCACTAAAGAACAACCATGAAATTTATAAATTCAGCATTTGCTTGGAGAAGTATTACATATATATGTATGAAAAGGAGAGGCAGCAAATGAATCACACATTCTATGTATCAGACAAAAATTAATTCAGTATATCACCAAACAAGGCAAATATTAATGAAGTTCTACAACAATTGCATTAGCAACGTATTTTGAGGATGAAAATTTTAAACATTGTTTTACAGCAAATCTTTTTGATGCTGTTTTTCAGCCTCACCTAACACAGGCTTCACCAACGAAGCAGAGCACAAGACACAAAGTCTAGATTCTTTTTTTTTTCTCTCTCAAGAAATAGCTCCTTGTATGACCTTCACTGCAACGTGCCAGTCCTTATTTGCATATTAAATGAGGATAATAACAGGCATTCTGGAAGTGCTGAGTCTCATCAGAATTTATGATATCAATGCTCTTCCAAAACACTCATTAAAGACTTTTGCAATGTTTATATTATT